TAAAAAATATATTATGTATCATTATAAAAAAACTTTAAGAAATTTCTTATGTATCAAAAAGAGAAGTCCAAATAAATATCTACATTAATAAATTTTATCTAATAACTATATATCATGTAATATAATATTATATATAATTTTATTACAACTATAAAAATATAATAAAAAATAAGTGACGCAAAGAGAATCCAATTATTTTTTTATTTAATTATTGGTATTATCTTTAGTTGGAATTTGAAACAAAAAAACTATTTTTTTAATTTTCACATAATAAATAAATCTTTTGATGCAATTTTAGTCATGGATGAAAGTAGAATATTATATTTAAATTAAAATTACATTAAAAATCCATGACTAAAATTCAAATTTGCATAAAAAAAATAGTAGAGCGGCAAAATTGCAAAAAAAAAAAAAAGAATGGTAAATATGAAACCCTAATATGGTTTAATGGTAAAGTTGACTTTTTTTGCAAATTTTTTTACATCTTCTTTCATTAATTGATAAATGTAAATAAAAATAATGAAAATAACAATTAAAACAAAAACTAATATGTATGTAATTTCCATTATTTGAACAAATGCAAATTAAATTATTCAATGTTTATATTTATAGGTATTAAAAGCAGAATAAAAACGTTTTGTCTCACACACAAAGTAAATATAAGATCGTCAATAGTGGTGTGATCTATTGTGAGAATATTAAACTTTTAGTTCAGTTATCAAAGTTTACTTTTTAATAGTTTCAAACACTAAAATAATAATAATAATAATAATAATGATAAATATAAATATAAATAAACGATTCTAAACTAATAATGTTATAACTCTAATAGTTTCCACATAATAAGAACTTTTAGGATTAAGAATTTAATTTTTAGAATAGATGATAAAATAAGTCAATATCATTTAAAAGAATCTTAATTTGAATTTTAAAATATTTAGAACAACTTTAAAAAATAAATTAATAATTAATGGGATATATATATATGTATTTCATTGTGTAAATCAAAGATCCAAACGCACGTATATTAGTTCCAAAGTATTTAATCAGTTAGTAACTTTCTGTTAACTAGTTATAATTGTCCTACCATTAGCTTTATTTTTATCAACAATTGCAATAAGTTTCCCCCTTTTTAATTTTAGCCTTTTATCCTTAAAAATTTTTACCAACAGCAGCTTTGACATAAATAACTTTCATCATTAGCTTTATTTTCCATTGCAGTTGTACCTTTACATCTACATATAAACAGGTTCATCTGCTTGCTCGAATATAAAGAGACTTCAAATTTTAAATTGACCCATATTTATTTGATTTTGTCATTACTTGGCTTAATAACAACTAACCTTTTATTCCTTTGATCAAAATGGGATTAATGTTTGATGGTGTTGGTAGTTGAAGCTGCTGCATTTTCCACAAGCATCAAAAATGGAAAACTATTTTCATATTTTAAATGAAACTTATTTCCAAAAAACAGAAAATGAATTTTAAAAAATACATTTGGATTGAGAAAAATGAACAATTGTTTTGTATATAAAAATAATGAAAACATTTTTAAGTATTTATTACATTTTTAACTTATATCATTGGGGCAAATATTGATGAATGATCTGTGAAAATGAGGATTGAAGATTTGAAGATTAGAACCCAAGAAGATTCTTAATGTTTAATTCATAATTGATTTTATTGCTTTCAAAATTTTCAAGCTTCCATAAAAAAGTTTCATGTTTTCAACTTTTTATAGATAGTGCTATTTTCATATTTATTTTAAATGATCAAAGTTTGCAAAATTAATTGACCTTGCCTTATGTAGTAAAGCAAGCACGAAGTGAATAAAATCTTAAGTTTGAATCTTATTGTTAATGGCCAAAACAATTTAATGTTCTTTTCTTACATGCCATGAAAATAATAGCAAAAAATTTTTTTTTTCATATTAGTAATATGTTTCATACTTCATAGTATTAAAGATAAAATGTTTCTTTTTTTCGTCGAAATATGGTTATTGTTATATATATATATATATATGTATGTATGTATATATATAAACTTGTTGAGTTAATTTGAACTAGTTTTCTATTTCATATTATAACTATCTTTTCAAGAATTGGTCATTATAAAACATTCAAAGAAAATTTTTTAACTTATTTAACGGATTTTAAGAATAAAAATAGCACATTATCAATGATTAAAAAAAAATAAAGCATATATATATATGGACTAAAGAGACTAAAGTAGCCAACATATATCATATAATATTTCAAAGACTTAATTATATTTTTAATACCTGAACTTTGAAAAAATATAAAAATTAATACCTAAAAAATGAAACATATAATTTACACTTGAGCTTTCAAATAATATATCATTTTAATCTAAGTTCTAATATTGTTAACCTAATTCACCTATATGATATATAATCAATATAATTTTATTATATACATGTTATATGTTAAATAAAAGCATTAAATATTTTGTAAAAATCTTCTTATGGATATCACGTGACAAAATATGATTAACCAATCCTAAATAATTGTTTGTATTGAATTATCCTGGAGTGGTAAAATCTTGAAAACATAAGAGAGAATAAAAGAACGATTAACAACAAAGATTGAGGTGATCCCAACATTTGTACTCCAACATTCAAGTTAGAAATCAATTTATTAGGTAAAGTAAAGGAAAGAGATAATATTAAAAGTTAAAAATGCAATATATGTTTAAAGATACTTGAGAGGTGTTACTTATACTTTTAAGAAAAGGAGTTTTGTATCTAAATTACCTAAGGTTAGCCTTAGAGAATTAAAGTTGACCTTGTAGGTCTTAGTCGAACTGGTAATTGATTATCCACTCAAGACATGACAAGTTAGCATCTTAGGGTGTTAGCATGTAGGTTGTTGAAGTGGTTGAACTGATGTGGATCAAAAAATTCAAGTTGATTTGACACATCAGCTCAATTAAAATGATTAAAATATCTTTATTTGTCAGTTGACTTATACTAATGAGGAAAAAGTTTATTTTGCCCTATGAATACTAAAAGACGGCTAACAACAATTTTTACGGTTTAGGTAAAAATATTTTTTTTAATTTATATTAAAAAAATTATTGATAATATGTGTGATAAAAACATAACTTTATAATATTTGTCTAACGTAACATATATAAGTTGATATAGTTAACAAAATTAGAGATTTGATTAATATGGTACATAATTTGAAAATTCAAGATTCAATTTATACATTATTAAAAAGTTTAAGGTGTAAATTGTGCATTTTATTTTATCAATTTACATATTTTCTTATAGTTCATATATTAAATTTATAATTAACTTTATTTCAAAAGTAATAATATTTTTAGTGTTTGATAACACTTTAAAGAGGGTTAATTCTTATTTGAATGTTCTAAAATGAGTTAATAAAAAAAAAATCATCCATGCTCATTGAGGCATAAATATAATATAATATAAAAAAATACAAAAAAAAAAAATTCTCGTATATCTAGTGACTTGAACCTGACATTTTGATGATTTGTAATGAATGGTAAAAGAAATTTAAAACTCCTGTGTTTTCACATCTTTGCAAAGTGTTTTCATTAAAAATAGTGAAAACATTATTTTATTTTATTTTGACCAATTTTCATTTTATTTTTTAGAGAAATAAGTTTTCTCACACATTTTTTTATTTTTTATAAAATAAAAAAAAAGTTTTGTTTTCATAAACTCAACGCACACTAATATTTTCAATATATTTTTTTTTTTTTATAACAATGTGAATTATACTTACAGCAAAGCTATACTTCATTGTAATAGAAGCATGGTGAGAACTCATTTGATCATCTCAAGTTCGATTCGCAAGCTTTGTGCAGAAAACATTCTATTTAGCTTGTGATCCTACAGTCCCAAATCCCTATTGATATTTATCCTTCGAAATTAAAGATCTGAAAGGAAAGATATTAGATGTACAAGACTAAATTAATATTGTAGTGCAATCCCAAAAAATAGATAAAGTGATTTTGCTTAAATAAGCCAAATATTCGATGCTAGTATGTTTCATGCATTACGTAAGGCAACTGGAACTTCTCGACCATGAGGTAGAGCTAGAGAGCATGGATCAGAAGGCGATGCAAGGCATTAAAGCTGAGTGAGGTAGGATTTTAAACTTGGGGTATATAATTTTCTTATTTAAAAATTGTAATTTTTATGCTATTAGATATGTATCTGATGCTTGTTTGAATATTTGAATATTCTATATAACTTTTTTTTTTTTTTTAGTATTTCAATGGATCGTTTATGCTTTTAGATATGAATATGAAATATTTCGATATCATAATTTATGCGGCTGTAAGTACTTAATTAGTTTTATTTCCATATTGAATTGTTAATTTAGATATGGTTAATTAGAATTAAATTCTTAATTACATGGCTAATTAACAACAAAAACGGTTTTTTCCCCTGATTTTGGACCAAAAATCACTAATTTTTTTCTCCACTGAATTATGTAAAATGAAAATATCGACAAAAAATTTTGCAAAACACAAAATTGGGATGAAAATAGACCGATTTTCAATTAAAAAAAAAAAAAGACTTTTGTTAGCAATAATAATCGGTTTCCAATAAAATAATTATCAACGAAATTTTATCAAATAAAATATGGATTCTAATAGAATTCTATCCGAAAATAATTGTATTTCGTTGAAAAAAAATTTCCAATAAAATTTTCTCGGAAAATGCTACCAATATTAGCAGAATTACATTGAAATTTTTTTTTTTTGAGGAAAACAATCGTAAAATGAATGTATTAGATGAATACACGAAACAATATTAGATTTTTGAAATATTTTAAATATTAATATATTTTTTTAGAAGATGTTTAAAATATTTTTAAAATTAATATAATAAAAAAATAAATATAATTTTTAGCTCCTTGATAAAAATTTAAAAACTTTATCAATAAAATAATAAATTTAAATTTCATTAATTATATTTACACCCAACCCAAAAATGTAATTTTTGCACAACTTGGCTTCCAATTTACAAATATATTTCTTCCTCTGAAATTAGACCAATCGCAAGCCCAAGCCGTGGTGTTCCTCAACCTCCTCTCTCCATTTTCAAGCTTTACAATTTTAAATTCCTAACATCTTTTCAAATAGCCTTTGAACTGAGAAAAAAGAAAAATAATAAACAAATAAATAAAAATAAATAATTTAGTTTGGTGAGACTTTGCTGCAATCCAGCAGGTTGGGTAGAAAGGGATGATGAGTGTAGCAGCACCTTGTACAATCTACCTAATTTCACGCTTAAATGTCCATAAAACCCTTACATCTTGTCTAATCTTTCAATTGTGTCACTCTCGTTTCTCTCTCGTTCCTCCTCCTAGACCTCTCTCCATCATGGCCTCTGCAACTCAGTCTTCTTCTTCTCAGGTAATTTACACACCCAACTTTCTGTTTGTTTCTATTAAAAAAACTGGGTTTTCTTTTTGTGTTGATTTTTTTCTGAAAAGGAGTAAATTGATTGGAAAAGATTTTTCCTTGATATAATATTCATGGGTTTTTTTGTTTATTTTTCAGGCTGTGTCTCCTGGGGATACTGACAAGGAAACCAATGTGTTTCAGTTAATTCAAGCTCACCAGGTTTGTCGAATTTTGTATATATAATGTTGACATGTTGTTTCTGTATATATTTTCCTTTTGTTTGTTTTATATTGAGTCAATGGAGTTCTTTTATTTTCAGGAGAAGGCTGCTAGGCTTCCTCCGGTCGAAGAAATTCGTACCTTGCTTGATCAAAGCACTCGAGGCATGCTTTCAACTTTTTCGCAGGTATGTGATCATATTACTAGTTGATCGTTTATAATTTCGGGCTAATTGAGCACGAAGAGTAATAAGTAGATACCTTTAATACTTGTTTAGTCTTTAGAACAAATTGTCTTCATTGTCTTGATGTGGTTCTTGATTATGTTTAATGAACAAGCTGAAAGCTTGATGATGGTTATTGATTGATATCCTAATAGGTTTTGTCTTTTTTACTTTTTCTGGTACTTCATTTATTTACCTTTTTGAGAGAAATCAGAGCTGCTTGAAAGGTGTTACTACTTCATGAGTTTTAAAAGTGAAAAGTACTTTCCATCACTTCTTACCTGTTTGTAAGATTGTTATCAGTTGCTTTACCCTTTCCGTGGAGATGATTAGGAATGAAGTATTTTAAAGGATTCTTGTTATGCAGATCATAATCTCATCAACTGGCAGAGAAATCTAAAAATGAGAACTGAATCTTGTAACCATTGCACATCTTCATAATGAATATAAACTTAATCAACTTGCTGTAGCAGACTCCTATAATCTAAACTTGCGCAAGCTGTAGCTGAATCTTGCAAATCTCCTCCTTTTTTCATACTTCCTAGTTACAGTTATGGTATCTTAGGCCATGCTGTCAAAAAGTTGAATGCTGATATAACTAATATTTTCTATACAGAAACTATATGATGGAAACACGATCTTCCACAACCTAGTGTACTTTGGCACTTATTGTGAAGGTTTTTGGATGGAATTAAAATGATGACTTATCTGTTCCCTCAACAACTCATATTAGGATTCCTTGTGAGTTTCACATGCAACTAAGAACTAGGATCAACCTGTGTACTTGTTTGCCCGGTCTCCTTTTGTTTCTGATGGTTGGTCATGACATTCATCACATAGACATTTTTCTAGTCGTTGTCTCACTCGTTAGACATTTGTCATATCGTCCTACTCATTATACATATTTCTCATTGTTGTCCCACTCATTTTGACTTCTTTTCTGTATGCAGAAGCATGAGGGCTATCCATCAGGGTCAGCAGTTGACTTTGCATGCGATGCCAATGGATCTCCAATATTAGCAGTCAGCACCATGGCAGTTCATACAAAGGTTCTCACTTAGTTGAATTATACTTTGATGAATACTTCGAGTTTGAATTCATTCATCCATTGCCTGTTCCAGAGGGATTGGGAGAAGGGGAATTGAAACATCAAAAGGATATTGAACAGATGTTCTGATGAGTCTTATGCATGGAGATGGAGGCCCATACATTTGAATCATGCTAATTATTAGGATCTTAAATTGATATTGTCTTGTTGCCAAATTTTGACAAAGCCATTTATAACGGCCTGGAACGCTCTAATATTATGCCTGTTTTCTTATGATCAGTTGCTTATGTTCTAGTCACCAACCTGCCTTCATTCTACTATTTGGAAGTTTCTCTCTTGTCTATCCCGTTGTCCTTTTCAACCTGGTGAACAAGTTTAGTTCTTTTTATGTAATAATCAGTCAAAACATGATGCTTTTCACAGGACCTATTGGCTAATCCCAAATGTTCACTGCTTGTCGTTAGAGATCCTGAGGACAGGACAGATTTAGTAATTACCCTGCATGGTGATGCTATTGCTGTAAGTTGCTTGTTATTTCGCTTTCTCCTTTTATGTATGTCTTAGGGGATTCTGGTTTTAAACTCATTTGTGAGCCTAACACCTTACTATTTAACATCCTATTTGTTTGGTGTTCTGAAGTATTTGAAATGATGTATTGATCAATTATATAGGTTTCTGAAAAAGATCAAGCTGCCGTTCGAACTGCTTATTTGGCTAAACACCCCAATGCATTCTGGGTATTTGTGCCTCTCATCCCCCTGCATGCCATGTCTCTTTAGATAAATTTTCTTACTAAATCTTATTTAGATAGAGAACTCAGCATACACTTCCATTATGAAGGTTGACTTTGGTGACTTCCAATTTATGCACATTGAACCAAAGGTTGTGAGATATGTATCAGGTGTTGCAACAGCTTTGCTAGGATCAGGAGGTTTGTGCTCTGATTGCTTTTCTGTATCATATCCTACATTTCCTCTACTATGTTATCTTTCAGAGAATATTAATGTTGCCTACCTCATTTAAAGCAAGGCACTCAAAGGTGCTTTTGCTTCTTCCTTGTCACCCATTTGGCTTATTGTTTTCAGCAACTTTTATGGATTTGTTTGTGGTGCAATTCTTCTGTCCTAACCAGCTTCTCCCATTTTATTTTATATGATGTCATGTTTTGTATTTTTTATATTTTTAGAGTTCAGCAAAGAGGAGTACCAGGATTCAAAAGTTGATCCAATAGCTCAATTCTCTAAGCCCGTTGCGGTATTTTGGCTGTTCATTCTCCTGTACAACATTTCATTTGTTTGTTGGAACTTTCCTTTTTTGTCCTTATTAATGCAGCATTTCTTTTCAGTCTCACATGAACAAGGATCATGCTGAAGACACTAAAGTCATTGTGCAATTCGCAACATCGATTCCGGTAATTAGGAATATTACTATTTAACGCTATATCTTATAGGAAGTGGAAAATTGTATCCATATTGTATTGAAGAGACAAGTCAACTAGCCCCTGCTGATTAAGGTGGAAATTTGGGGATCATGCCTCTATTGGCTAATTCTAGGCCCACTACTGAAATTAGAGTAATTGAAATGTATAATTTATGCTGAATATTTTCATTAGGTAATCTTTCTAGTTTAGCAATAATTTGGCTAAAACTGTTGATTTTATCAAGCTGCCATTTGTACTGAAATTTGTCCAAATGCTTCTTCAACCCAAAACTGCGACACCATTGTAATAATATTAACAATCCAGAAAACTGAATCTTCATTCTAGAAAATCCAACGTTATAACTAACCGTTCATCGAAGTTTATATTTGCAGACAATATTGCCCCATCGTTCTTTGGTAGACCTATGGCTTCTTCCCCCAAATAGAAAACTGCCACTATTTTCTATGATAAAATTTAAAAGCTTCTGGCTAGCTGTTGTCTTCTCAAAACATGACTTGCAGATCCATTTCTTCTCTCCCTTCTATCACTAGTATTCAATGTGATGATTTCTTTTTCTGAAATTTTCACATTGACGACCTTTGATTGGTTGGGAGTTTAACATATCTTGTTTTGGTTCTCTCCTTGCCCTAGCTAATTGTATCTTTCTCCAGGTTGACTACGCTTACATGCTGGATTTGGATAGTCTTGGATTCAATGTCAAGGTTCTGATAACTTTTAACCTTTTATGTTGGATCTATTTTATTGGCTAATATCCATTTTACATGATGGAAAGTGAATTGCATTACTTGGAAGTTAACTAATATCGAAAATTCCTTTCATTAATTGCCTTGTGCTTCCCTTTCTCCCTTTTTTCCTGCAGGCTGGTTATCAAGGAAATACTTTCAAGCTGCGAATTCCTTTTCCTAGACGTGCAGAAAATAGAAAGTGAGATATCTTAGATTGAATTTTCGATCTCTGAAGAAATTTTCCTTGAGTTTTTACTTGCCATCTGTTCTTAATCGTCAGTTTTACTTTTTATATAAGGCATCTGCTTTGAGATCCTCATCTTAATTTCCTTTATCAATGAAAATAAAATTTATACCATCCTGGCAAATGCCACTGAAACAAATGGGAGGACAAGGCCATTGTCTTCTTTGGTCCTGTAATTTAAATGGGATTATAGGAATGACTTGATTGTCTTTTCATGCGGATTCTTTTCTGACTGGCTCAGACTTTATGTAAAAGAACAATAGCTTGGGGGGACACTATATGATGTTTGACTGTGTTATTTGCATGTTCAATCTGGTTTTCTTATGCACGTCTTAGGGATGTGAAAACCCTAATAGTTGAAATGCTCCAAGCTGCCCAGACTCAAGTCAACTGACTTTGCTGCTAAAAGGGACCTAAGAGGTGAAGTTTCCAATTTCTTAAATCTCTGTTTCATCTACATTTTTGCCTGTACTAAGCACTAAATGAAGGCTTTTGTTTGTATAAACTGAACTGCACATCTTTATGATCGTTAATTGCTCAGCTGCAGCATGTAGAGGAAACTTAGTCTGAATATCCTTTTCAGAAAACTGTTAAACGGTCTTATGAATTATGTGCACAGCAAAAGTCATCTAGCTTCAGTGCTAAATGTTAAGGTGGTGCTAAACTGCCATATATCATGAATCGTATTCCGGCAGTGATATCCAAAATTGGAGATCCTTCTGATGCTTATTGGCTTCGTTTTGCAGGATATTGTGTTACATTTGCATCTAACTTCTTTGGAAGATGAACCAACTTAGAATTCCAAAAGACATAGCAATAAAGATACGATTACCAAGGACAACCAGCTGGAATAATTGGCTTTTTGCTTGTTATACCTCGGAAACTTTCATTTCAAGTTGTTACAATTAGAGATAATTAGAGACAATGATAACGTTTGAAAGTTGAAATTATGAGATGTGAAACTGGTTAATGATTCCTCTGTATGTACTTTGCCATGATATAATACTTTCTTCTTTCCCTTACTGCCCTTAGACATAACTTGAAAACATAAGATACGAAGGTTTGCTGTAAACAATTTAACTGGAATGGTCATGTGCATAGAGAATATTAAGAGTCTGGCAAAGTACTTCGTTCACCGAAAGGCTGATACAGCCTAGGGTTTGTTTTTTTTTTTCAACAATTGCTTGAACCTTTTGGTTGTTTCCAGAGCATTTTGATATCTAATTTGCTTTTCTAATGAATTATGTTGGCTTACTATTCTCGAAAGATTGCAGAACTGCCAAGCCAAATGCTCCTCTAGGGTACAAAATCCAAGGCAAATTTTACATTTTTGGTTCCACTAGGGAGAAAGGATGTAGTTGAGATTTTGTAAGAAGAATCCAACCAGAGCAGTCACTGACAAATGCTACTCTCTAAATCTACAGACAGAACCTCTGTCAAACGGTTTTTGCCAGTATAATGATCGGGCCAATCTAGCCATCAAATTTGACAAAATTTTTGACCATATGTACTGCTTCATTTGACCACATGCATAACAGTAAGTTCAAAGTCTGAAGGAATCTCAATGTTGTACTTTCACCATCATATTTACCAAAATGATACTATTTGATCAGAAAACAAGGTAGAAAGGAGAGACGCACTTGCATTTTGTATGCAGTAAATATTTGGAGCATGGGAATGAATAACAAAAATGATTATTCTTATTTATAAAAATGAAATTTCCAACTTCTATACAACAAAGCCGGCAGAGCAGAGACTCTTCTAACTTTCCAATTTTTTTCTCTCCCTGAAAACTCCAACAACCCCATTAACATTAACAGCAAAAATATTCCCAAAAATTCAGATGAGAAAAAAGCCTCTGCTGCTGCCATAGATGTATGGCATGTCTCTCAATCTGAATCACTTTCCCATACTCCCCATGGCCTTCAAATCCCTCTTGGTCTCTGCACAATGCCAAACCACATAAGAAAAAAAAGGACAGAAAGAAAACGAAAATAACTTTCTACAGAATTTATTGAAAACTGCAAATAATATACAAAATAAATACCAAGATTATTGTAGAAACTAGAGGAAAGAGAGACTACTCATTTACCTTTTAAACTCTTCTTTCCTAACTTCATAACCTCTCCCTGGCAACATATCAGTTCAACCATGCCCCAGGGCCTCACACAGCTGCCAAACCACGCAAAAATAATGTCAAACCAAAATTCAAAGAATCCACAGGATAAATCATCAAATCTGAATCTTGCATTAATCCAAGGAGAAGTCTTTTCCTCCAACAAGAAACGACCAAAAACCAATATCAATTATTTGATATCACATTTCTTTTCTCAATCAAAAAAACAAAAACTACATATGCCTTCAATTATTGAAAGCTATTGCATAAATCCAGCAATGTTACTTACAAGTAAGCTCCTTTGGATAATCTTGGCTCTCTTTTTAGGCCTTTGAGGGGGTTTGCACCCTTTCATTGCCATAAAATCTTCCTCTTTTTCTTTGCTTGACAAAGTGATATACAGTTTTGGCCACACTAGCCCTTTGTTATCCTCTCCATTAGTGCTATCCAGTGCAACCTTCCCATTCTCATCCACCAATCCCACAGCTGATCCCCTTGTTGTGTAGTACCTATCCTCCTTCTCTGGTGACAAGGTTTTCCGGTGCTCTGCCGTGCCTGACCGGAGTATAGCTGCCTCAGAATTCCTACAACAAAACATACAAAAGAAAATATGTAAATTTCACATTTTACCGGTTTGCTTATTCATTATAAAAATTTTCCTTGGGGAATTTCTTAACACCATGTTTGGTAGCTAAGGGACCAAAAAATAGTAGTCACAAAACTGAAATGGCATAAAACAGACAAATTCATACTTCCCTTCTCTCTATATCCAGCAACCAAACAGGGGATACCAAGCTGTCCAACCTCAATTTCTTAGAAATTTCTTAAACACTGGTAGGTGTCTGAGACCCAAAAAAAATAAATTTTCTTTGTTTTTTTACCCCAAAAAAATTCCATAGCCATCCACGGCTGATTTGGCCAAAAAAAAATTAAAACAAAATTCAATCTTTTCTCCCCCTCCACCCCTACCCAACAGCTTATCAGAAAACAAACAAAAGGGTAACAAGAAAATTTTCCAAAAAAATTCGTAAAAAAAAAAAAGAGAAAATCTCATCTTTTTTCCAAACCAACAAAAGGTGCCGAGAAAATTCAAGAATTTTTTTAAATGCCAAAAAAAATTTTGATCTTCTTACCTAGTGAGACGATTATTGGATTGAGAAAAAGGAGAGGATTCTTTATCTAAAAGACGAGAAGTGATTCTCCTGCGAATTATAGCTTTGGATTTATGAGAGATTTTTTGAGGGTCTTTAACTCTCACACATCTTAGCCTCTTTCTATTTCCCCACTGTAAAAAACAGCTCTGGCTCTATTGTTTTGCATGTTCTTTGACTCCTCTCTCTTTCTCCATCTCTGCCATAAAGAAAAAAAACAAATAAAAAGTTTCAATTTTTCACTCAAAAAAATCAAATTTGAGTAAGAAAATTTTGTTGAAAAGAATGAAAAAGAAATAAAAATTATTATTTTAGAGAAACCCATTTGGGTGGTTTCTGCTGTGAAATCAAAGAGATGATGAAATTAAAGTCTGGGTTTTTGCTGTTTCTGTTAAAGTAGAGAAGAGTCATCAGAGGAGAAGAAATGCTATCAAGAGAAAAAACAAAAATTAGAACTTTGAGAGGAATTGGTTGCCTGAACATCAAAGATCTAAACAAATACACTATAATCTTTCCTCAAAAAAAGTCCTGAAATTCCAAATGAAAAATATATTAATTACCAAGTAATTAAAAAAAAAAAAAGCTTGGAAGAAGAAGAAGAAGAAGAAATCTTACAGTGCAATATTATCATCCCAGAGAAAAAAAAAGTTGGGTTTCTTTTTCTTTTGCCTAAATTATTGCTTCAATTTCTCTGTTTTGTTTATAGAATTTGAGGAGGCCTTCTCTTCTTACTCTTTCTCCGTGTCTTCCCAGTCTAATCTATTGTGTTTCTTCCCTTCTCTCTGAACCCCTTGTTTGTGAATTCTGACTCTTCTTTCTTTTCTTCCTGTTTTTTATTTATTATCTCTCCCCGCGCCGATGCTGAAAATAATTAAAAATGGAGATTTTACATTGACCGTCCGATTTTGAATCTAGGTATGATGGAATGCTGGACCTACTTCAATTGATTATCATTTTTTAATATTATTTATTTTATCATTAACTTTCCCCCATTTTTGGGAAATTACACTAGGCAAAATGCCAAAAAGACATGTTAAGTGAGTTGGTGAACCAAAACAAAAGTAGGCAGGTGCCACATTCATTTGGGTTCAACTTGAATATAATTTGGGCTATTGCTTTGTGTTTGGGATTTTAAGCAAGGCCTTTGGACTTCACAGATTACAAGTCTTTAAATCTTAACAGATGGGCTTTAGTTCAGGTCCAACAGAAAACTAAGTTGTTTTTTTTTAATATATAAAAAATCTATTAGCTATCTAAAAAAAAATTTTAATTTGCTTTTTTCCTAAATAAGGGAAATTAACTTTCTCCCACTACATAAACTTCAGTCTTTTCACTTTTCAAATTTAAATTAAAAAATAAAAATAATTTTTATACATTAATAATATAATTTTTTAATTTATAAATAAAATTAAAAAACCGCTACCTAAAGTTCGTAATTTAATTAAATCTTAAACTATACCTAAAATCACATTTATATAATTATCATTAATAACAATAAACAAGTATGACCAAATTTGTTTTTCCATGAATTTTGAAATGGTGTACGGATTATTTGCTTGACTTGTTAAAAAAAAATAAGTGTTGTACTTGTTTTGATTCTAAGATGATAACTAATAATGCAAATTACATTGTTTAGTAATTGAGTTTAAGATGATATTTAAGAAAAAACATGCAACTAATGCATTGTTTTAGTTAAAAAAAAATTAGTGAAAGTATTGCATTAAAAAAAATTTTTGCTTAAAAAATAATTCAACCATCCTTGATAGCCATTTGCCTTTATCCTAACTAATATCCTCACTTTCCTAACCTTGTCCTGCTAGCCCCTACCTTTCTTTTTCCTTGCTTAATTTCAAAGCATATGAATTTGAAAAGTTGGGGCCCTCTGAAATTCTATCTTAAATTTAAAGTCATGTTTAGAATATAAGATTATAATAAAATAAAATAAGATGATATTATGAATATGATTAAATTAAATTATATCATTATATCTTATATTTGATATGCAATAATTAAAATAAAATAATTTATTTATTGATCAAAATTATTTTTTTTTAATTTATACAATTTAAATGATTGATATAATCTTTAAAGGTATAATAAGATATGTAATTTTAATTTTATGAATTAAAAATAATCTTTTTCATTTTAAAAAGATCATATACCAAAAAAATAATAATTTTTCTTATAATCTTATTTCTTTCAATTGAATATCAATTAAATATAATATAAAATAATTATCACACTATCCTTTCTATTATCTTATATATCAAACATTATTTTAATGAATAAAACAATCATATTTTAACTAGAAGCTAGACATCTTGGGAACCAGTTAGAAATTTGGTATTGTAAGTCAGCTAAAGGTAATGAAAAAGAGCAGATTATATTGACTTCTTTTTTATTTCTTAGAATGCTGCCTTGAACTTCGGGTGATTGAATCATTTATTATGGTGAAATAAGAAAGTATTTCTTTAGTTTTATTGTAATTTGAAAATGGCAAGGTGGGTAGTTATACTTAACACAATTTTTAATCTCATTGTTTTTTTAATTCTAATTTCTCTACCCAAATCTAGAGCTATTTGAGTTAGTAACAATTTAAACATTTTGTTTATAAAGTTAGGTGCAATTTTTGCTAATAGCAGTTATTTTTAATCCATCTGTAAATCTAATATAAATTTTCGTTAAAATTTATAACGAGATAACTTCTTTTCGTCTAAACTTTTTTGCAAAAGAAAACTTTTTTTCAAAATATATTCCTTTTGATATAAGCTACAACCGTGCAAAGCTTACATCCGTGGCACTGGCAACAAGAAACAGGCCATCTTAAGGTCGGCATTTCAAAGGCAGACAAACCAGAAGGCACTTAATTTTGAGCAGCTAGCAGTCCCCTTCGTCAAGGTATAAATGTTGAAATTTCTAATTGAAGTGAAACCTACTGCCTAGAGTTGGTGACAATCTTCAATTATGGCAACAATAAGGGAGATTACAAATCACTCTGACATCTAACAAAATCTGATTAGATAAAGAGGTAGAATTGCTTTAGTTGCTGTAATCTTTCTATGGTAGAGATTTAAGGTTCGAATTTAAATTTTAAATCCCTCTCCTTCACATTTTTTGAAATATCAAACTAATAATAAAAGACTAAACTGGGGGAAAAGGTTTGAAATATTTGGACCGTTGCATTTGGAATGAAAACATGCATAGAAGCCGGACAAATCAAAAAGCAGTAGGGCCCCATGCCATTGATAATTTGGCCCATGCCACAATTGCAACTCAAAAGAGTGCGTAAACTTGTTTGAAGTTACTATTTAAAAGGATGACATAAACCAGTTGTTGCTAGGCACCAATTTTATTGAAAGATTGTTCGTTAGACAGTTTTTTTCAATTCCTCATAACCTCTTATATTATGTTTGAATACATATAAATTAAAAAAAAATTTTAATAACCATTGTTTAGATAAATAATGAAAATAAAAATTCATTATAATAATTTTTTCAATTATAATCTTTTTTTATAAAATAACATATAATATATAAATATATCTTTATATTATTTAATTTGTATAAATAAATCTTTTTAAATAAAATTAAACATATTTAATATGATAAGATGTATTAATTAATTATTGATTTTCTCTTAATTTTATGTGTAATTCAATCTTTTAATTTATTCTGAAAATAATTTAATTTATTTTATTGTTAACACTTGAAAAATCATAAAATATTTATAAACTGTAATATTATATAAAATACTTATATAAAAAATTATTTTTATAAAAAGTATCAGTTATATAATCAAATTTAATGTCATAATAAAAATATAATACAATAATCTTTTTATAAAAATAATTTTTTTTTAACTTTTCTTTCTTTAGCTTTTTCCTCTAATTAGGTTATTAAAAAAGTGAATATTACAAGGAAAATTAAAAGATTATTAAGTTTCTACCTCATTATTTTTCTTTATATTAAAAGTTTATCAAAACAAAAATTTTTTTTTCTGTTTTCATTACTTTTCTTTATTTTCCTTCCTTCCCCTCAATCTAAATATAATATTTTCTTAGTGGTATGTTTCTTAAATTCTTTTGTGTAGGGGGCAACTTCTGGCTGTATTAATTGAAAAATAAGGAAAAGAAAATGTAAGAGAAGAGGGAGAAAATAATAGGAGATGCAAAAAATTGAAGGGTTAAAATTTAAAATTTAATTCAATTTTTTATATAATTATTTTTAAGAAGTGTCGTATAACAAATACAATATTTAAATCTTAACACTTATAATTTATTTTTTTATTCTTAAATTGCAATCTCATTTAAAAAAATAAATTGATGTACTACATTTTTATTCCTAATAATACTTCTTAGGACTTAAAACTTAAGAATTATTGCCAAAATCCATCTAGGTACTTCTATTCATATAAAAAGATATTTATAAAGGACTGTAATATGATATACATTTTTTATTTGGAAAAAAAAAATTCTAACTCACCTTAACTTGATAAATAGATAATGTTCCAATGTAATTAACATGCATCTTTTTTCATCTTTTTAGTTTATGCAGAAATCCCATTTAAAAAAAAAAAAAACCTTCAATTGTTTTTTCTCTTTTTAATCATTATATAGTCAAAGGCAATGAACTTTTTTTTTTTTTTATGAGAATGAACTTCCTTTTTAAATCTAAAAAGAAAGTATTTTCAAAGTATAATTGATTGAAAATTTTAAAATAAAAATATTGAAAAAAGTAATGGGATGAAAGCAGAATATCTTCCATTAAGTTTTTCATCTAATCAAGAGCAAAATTGCATTGGACAAAGATTAAAAATGAGACAGCCTGCCCCAATTATGTCAGTTTGAAAACAATAGATATCATAAACTATAAAGTACTCTTGTTTGTATAAAAATTGCTACAATAAAATTTCCTTAAATTAGATATAATGACAAACATATATAACAACTGATTGAATGTGAATGAAATGATGAATAATTAACATTTTACTGGGGCTTGACTTTAACTAACAACTAAAATCACATGATGTAATTGAATGGATTTTCAAATTTACGTGTAAATTAAGCTACAATAATGTGTTGGTAACATTCAAATGAAATGATATAATTTTTTTCAATTAATATGTCGTGAAATTATCGGATTTTTAGTATCAATGAACAAAATTCAAAATTTGAAAGTTCAAATAGTTCATGGATCTTATTTAAGAGTTTGATTTTAATAAGATTGATTTTTAATCTTATACTTTAACCTTTTTTATAAAAAAAAAAATCAAAATTAAAAAAATAAAACTCCATGAATTACAAATATATATATATATATATATATATATATAGAGAGAGAGAGAGAGAAGAGGAAAATGGCCTTACGCACTCAAAAAGAACTCCACGTTTTATTTGCCTTTGTATGAATTTTGTGGATTTGAACAATGGAAGGGAGATAGTGGCTTAGGAGAAATTGAGATAAAAAAAATTAAGCAAGAATTTTGTGACCTTACACAATGAAATTTGGTGCAATGCATGGCTCTATAACATTGCTCTTGAACCATATTGTCTTATTCATATCTAGAGATGAAATTTTAAATTTGAGGTTGAAATGTGGATATTAACTTTGAGGTTCTAATTTGGGACTCTTGAATTGGATTAACCATCTCTTGTATTTTAAGTTCTAAACCTCAAAAAAGAAGGAAAAATTAAAAACAAAAAAGAAAAAACCCAATTTACTTTGAAGTCTTTGTTTTTCAGTTTTCACACAATTTGGGCACAAAAATTTCCACCACAAAATTATAAAACTCGTATCTTAATATTGATTGATTTCGAATTCAAATTTTATTTATTA